TTCTTTATGTTGAGGTATAATCCATACTGAAAGCTATAGTCATTGATCATTGTCTGTGATTGCTTCAAGTCCTCTTCACTTTCAGTAAATGCACACATATATGTATATGTCTATATGATAGTGTAGTGCCTAAGGCACTTGACTGCTAACTGGAAAGCTGGCAGTTCAAATCCACCAGCCACTCTTCAGAAGAAACCTTGGGCAATCTACTGCCGTAGTGATACCGCCTTGGAAACCCAACGAGGGGTCCACTATGAGTCGGGGTGACTCAACGGCACATCACAACAACAACCATATCATTCAATGGAAAGCATATTGATTGAAGCTCACGTAAATAGTTGAAACCACAACTTCAAGAATATATTAATATTTCAATATAAATACACCATTATAGTAACAATTTCCTACCAGGACAAGCCCTCACAATTTTTCCCCTCTTTTACATCTAGGATCTGGTACCTTAATAATATACTTAAACCATCAGAAAGCCTTAACTCATTGATTTTTCATTTGGATAATAATATGTACATTTTCAATTAACAAAAAGGTATCTATTAAGTGCTTTTTGGTGTAAGGGACTACTGGACATTTTATGGATCAATTTAAATAGACCAAGTCCTAGGTTGCTCTTAAAATTTCACACTGAGCATTAAGGCAAATAGAGAGGGCATTAAAGAGGGCAAACTTAACGGAAACACTCTGTAACAAAATGAGACAAATTAAAACATTAGTGATATACCTCTTGATCAGAGTGGTTTAACTGGATAAAGACAAATCAAAGAAATTTGTTATTTTATTTTCCATGATAGGTAGAGTCATAGTAGGGTAGAATTTCAGGAGCTATTTTATGAAGAAGAAATTGTAAAATTTGATTATTTTTATTGGGTAAAGAATATTAGCTGTATCATTCAGTTGGCAAAAGATACAAAGATAAGTTCAAAGTATAAAAATTAATTTGGTTTGACATGAGTATGTGTTAATATAATAGTTAAAAATACATATAAATTTATATACATTATGGTTCTCAGCTCTGGCTGTACATGGAAATTACCTGAGGAGCTTTTACAAAGTATTAATGCTTATACCATCCCCACTCCTAGACCATTTAAATTAGAATCTCTAGACAAATGAACCTGACCATTAGAGTCTGTGAAACAGACAAACAAAACTCCTCAAGTGATTCTAATATACTGGTTGAGGACCATTGGATTACATCCATGTTTAATACTCTGAAGATACAAATGTGTTCTGCATATTTCTAGGTAAGAATGAACACCACATATCTGAGGCTGACCTTTCACTTTTGAAGCTAGTTTCCTGTTGGAGAGACCAATCTGTGCAGGTATGTT